AGGATGTATATATATCTATGTATATATATATATATATATATATATATATATATATATATATATATATATATATATATATATATATATATATATATATATATATATATATATATATATATATATATATATATATGCATTATTACAATTATTTTCTAAATTTACAACTATATTTTTTTTTTTAATTCAAAATCTGCTAATGAAATACACATTTTGTCACTTGCAACTTTAATATGCTTACCACTCCTTAAATATTTTCATCAATTTTATGTCTAAATATTTCCTAAATTAGCCCAAAATTTGTAAAATAATCCCTTTAAATTTGAAAATATTACATATTTTTATTGTTTAATGTGCATAGTATTAAAAAAAAAATCGGGGGCGCTGCCCCCGAACCCCCCGTAAACTTTTACCTTTTTTACTATATTTAATTCCGAACACCCTTGGCAAAAATCCTGGATTCGCCACTGCCCCCTCCCATCTTGCATCTATCTCCAGTCAACAGATCCGGCTACCGGCGGCAAGATTCGTTCAGCCACGACAAAATCCGGCTATTTTTTACCCAGATCTGGTCACTAACGGCGAGCTCCGTTCACCGCCGACCAGCCTATTCAACCATATATACACTATTTTGAGAAAAACCGGGTTCTTTAACCGGTTTCCGGTTTTCCGGTTTTGGACGGTTGAACCGGATTTTTGTGCAATTGACCCCGGGTCTTGATTTTTCCGGGTTTGGAGTATCAACCGGACCGGCCAAGTGCCGGGTCCCGGTCAAACCGGCCGGTCCGGTCCGGTTTTAATAACCATGGTATTAATTGATTTACAATATCAAGATTAAATTGTGAATTTTTGTTTTTGGTGTAGATGAAGTTTTTTTTATATAATCATATGTAATATATATACCATAGTCATGTGTAGTCAATTTCAATACAGTAAATTTATCAAAATATTGAAACAAAATTAAAAATTAAAAATTAAAAAAAATTAAAAAAATTAAAAAATTAAAAAAATTAAAAAATTAAAAAAATTAAAAATTTTAAAAAATTAAAAAAATTAAAAATTACAAAAATTAAACAATTTTAAAAAATTAAAAAAATTAAAAAATTAAAAATACAACAGAGGTATATATAAAAAATAATAATAAAATAAACATTTATAATTTTTTATTAAAAACATCTGATAATATGATAAATGCAGGTCTAAATGTTAATTGCAGTTGATCATAATGCTGAATGCAGTTAGTAAAAATACTGAATGCAGTTGGGCAAAAAATAGATATAAGGGCACAATAGTACTTTTGCCTCCCCAGGGGGTTATCTCAAAGGAACAGGGGGTTATCTCAAAGGAAGAATTTTAGGGGTGGACCTATCCCTATATATTTTTCATATTAAGGGTGTATATCAAATGGACCCAAGTAAAAAATATTTAAATAGGAGATTGGTAATTGTTGAA